GTGAAAATGGGTTGAGGTTTCGTCCATCAAATGATTGACATCATCAGAGCTGAGTCTCATTCCTGTAAAAGTCTGACGTTAACACTAGGTCAAGAAGAATATCCGGTTGACGCTGTTTCTGAGGTAATATTCTTCGATTCTGGTTTAAAGGTGCTAAGCTTTCGTCCATCATATGACGAACATCGTCAGAGCAAGTTAGCTTCACGAATCAAGAAAACTCGTTCGCTTGAATTTGGTTGTGACGATGATACCTTACTCTGATGATGTTCGTAATATGACGGACGAAATCTTATCACTTTTTCACTGGAATCGAAGGAGATTACCTCTGAAACAGCGTCAGCATGAATTTTCCAGTAAAGCCAATTGACAGCTGGTCAAGAGGAATCCGTCGTCGTCTTTTGGTGGAATCTACCTTTGAATCTCTTTACCCAACACTTTCACTCGAAATGGAAGTAGGCTAAGCAATTACGAGACTGCGTAAGACCGTAAGCAAGTATGTTTGAGACAATGAGATGTAAGCTTGTAAATAATGTAAGCCAAGTTACGAAGCTTACCTCTCAGTCTAGTGTCATTAACGTTTAACCACCCAAGGAAAGGCATAACTGGGGCTGCGTAAACTCGTACGTTTACTTTGATTGTTAAGCTTCATCTAACAGGTTTGACTAGTGTGAATGAAACTAGAACCATCACTGAGCAGACAAGTTGAGTCGCTTTCTTTTGGATGGCGACTCAGCCTTCTCGCTCTTTTTAAATCTATCAATCAGGAATAAGTAGTTCTTACTCAACTTTCTATCACCGTCCCTTTACATTCATCGTATTCCCTAATCTATCCATTTTAATAGCTTCTCTTATCTTCCTTTTATCAGCAGATGTACCTTAATCGACAAACCTACTAGTATGAGACCATTCTATCTCATATCCTGTCTCTGCTATGTGTTTGGCCACTTCTGACCGTTGGACACATCTCCATTTACATATATTTTTGTGTTCCCATAGTCTTTGTCGAATGGGCCTGCACGTCTCCCCAACATAAGGCTGACCACATCAACACACAATCTTGTAGCAGCCGAATCTCGATAATGGGTCTTAATACTCTCTAAAAGATGGCATAAACGAGGAAAGTGACGGTTTTTTAAACAATGTTTTTATCTCCCACTTTCTTCCTAATCCGCCTATCTTCTTTTAAAGAAGGTATGACGGCAAAATCAGGACATGAAAAGGGGCCTTCTCTTGTCTATCTTTGACTAAATATTCTCCGTCCGAAAATTTATTGCTCAGTAATGGAATATTATCAGTACTTAGGCCCAAATGAATAATTATTTCAGGAATAAACTTTTCAGTCGCTCCGATTCTTTAGTCAAATAAATTACTATAACATAAAATATAACTCACGCGTTCGACATTCATCTCACGTTGGGCGCTATTTACTATTTGCGCGATTACATCGCTGAAATGATGTAGCTCCATAGCGAAGACACCTTCGAGAGTAAAAGTACTTGGATCAATGTCAAAACTGATTCCTGCCTTCTCCATTAGTTGTTGCCAATGCCTAGTAATAGGGAGAATTTTCACATGATTTGTTCGTGTTAAGAGAAGCCAAATACAATAGCATAATCTAGTTTGCTTAGTTGGTACAGCATCGTTTCGTGGCCTTTAATTTCACATTAATTTTTATTGAATAAAATTACATATGGGAAAAAATATATTTAATGTTTATAATCAAATTTATGATGCGAAAAATAAGATTTTGCCCAATTTATCTGGTAAAATTGCTAATAAGATTCTACCCAAAATGTATATAAACATTAGGTTTTATCTATTACGGTCAGGCCGATGTTAAAAATTATGGAAAAATTAGTTTAGATTATTTTATTCCCTACATCATGATGAAATTATCTATTACCTTGGTCTAAGTGCTTCGTCTTTCAAATAGTTGATGAGAGTAAGTGACTCCTGGAAATTCTTTAGCCTGTTGTAGAGTGTACGAGCGCATGGCAGCTTGCGCATCTTGCGAGATTGGGCTTTAAACTTCTCCATATGATCTTCCGTGACATTCATAATTTCTTGGACTTTAACATCCCTCCAGAGAATGCATGCCCACTCTTGCCTTGTACTCTTTATGTTTTGAAAGAAGAGGATAATAAAGGATAAACAGCGAAATGGACGTAAAAGATGAAATTATTGCTTGATGTAAGGAAGAAATCACATGCAGAATTAATCCTTAATTTCCAGTCTCAACACAACTACAGACTGAAGATCGGAATAATGAGGAGTACGATAATCAAAAGCTTAAGACTAATGAACACTGAGTTTTGTGACGAGTAGTTAAACAAACTCACTAAAATTTGCCTTATTAATGGGTATCCCATGACTTTATAGAAAGAAATAGACGTCTCCTAAAGAGCTGATTTCAACTCGGATTTTATGAAAATCCGATCAGGAATCAGGAGAATGACCCAAAGTTTATGTGCCTGATCTCCTGTGAACTGAACCCAAAAGTGCGACAGTTACTAAGACAACGGAATACCAAGATGAGAACGAAGGCGAAGCCCACACTTTTAATCAGTCTCCCGAAGCAACACGAGTAGATTGACAAATTGGATTGCTCGGGAATTTATCGCATCAAATGCGGCAACTGTGAGCAGAAGTATATTGGTGAAGCAGGAAGAAAAATCGGCTTATGAATCAAGGAACATCAAAGACACTGTGAATACATGGATATACAAAGATCCTTTGGCCTTTGATATGGTCGCGAAGGCTCTCGCACTTCACGCTCCTTACAAGCAATTCATACACACAATACATGAATCTAAACGCAATTACATGCGGCAATATTGCAGGATCAAAAGTATCAGTCTTTTATGGGAGGATGCAGTTGTCTAATCACAATTGCATGCTGTACCCGCTACATCTGCGGCCAGTATACTTTTCAGCAGCATGTAGGGAAAGCATAGGATATCCAACCAAGTCAAGAGGTGTTTCATCAAGATGACAAAGCTAGGCTACATGAAGTAGGTAGGATTGCAGCCGGCCACGTTTATTGTATTTATGCATAGTGAATAGTCGCAAAGCATGGTGTCCTAAATTGACGATGTACGTCACATGACGGCCAAGAGCTTAGCAAGGATTCCTGGGGGTTGCCTAGCGGTGCGCTGGGAACCGATTCACACAAATCCATGAGCACAGTTCCAAGGCATTTTTCCTGCAGCTTCAGTGAGGCTAACTTGCGAATTCCTTCCACTTGTCTCTTTAAACGAAATTACAGCTACTTCCGCATGAAAATCTCCTTTGCTTTTAACTTACAATGGGTTTATCAGATATCATATTTACTTAAAATATATCAGCAAATTCAAAAAGTAGACACAGGCAGTTGTTATGATGGTTTGCCTAAGATTTATGCTCCCTTGTCTATTCGCCTTATTACATGTTTCAAACATCCATACCTCATGATCTTGATAAAGATCGTAGATCGGCTTCAACTTATGCGCCTCCTGCCTGATATCTTTTAAGTCGGGGTACGAGGAGATTGGTAGGTCTAAGAGGCGTTCACTACTCAGCAAATCCAAGCGGCAGGCCTCGAGTTTCTCGCCTTCGTCTATAAACTCTAAAAGCATCTGATATCCCATCTCCAAATCATCACTGATAGTTCCTGGTCCAGAAGTGCGGTAGCTTTAGGTTGATTAAAGGTACAAAAATGGAAGCAAAGTGGAAAAGGAGTATGAAGCAAGTTTTGACCTAAGCAGAATTTAGAGGGGTAAAATATTTTAAGTAGGCTCTTATTGACTAAGGCAACTAAGAATTAATAAATTGCTATTTGCAAGGAGGGTACAAATAAAAGTGTCAAAAGAGCAGTTAGTACTAAATCATCTAGCGATGTTTTTGATTGCTAAATCAACTAGTAAGAACAATGAAATGCAATTAATTATAAAGGATTAATGTAACATTTTTGTATATAATGGTGACAAATGGGTAATTTAAAAATTAAACATGCTGGTAATTCTATCAAAATTTTAAACTTGCTTTTCAGTTTATCTGTGCTACATAACATAATCAGATCCCTCCATACTACATAGCAATGTATTCCTACAATATATTTAATGAAAATTACATTTCTCTCACAGTTTTGATCAGTTAAGTTTGAGGATGTATAAATGCCGTACAGGCATAAATATAGAAACCCGATTTAGAAAGGGCGTATGAGAATTCTGGTAATCCTAGGGAGTCTAGATTTACTAATGTTAGAAATGCCTGAGTTTGCCAGAGTGTCAACAATGCTCATTCATACCAGCAGAGGTTAGATTAATTGATGCGTTTCAAACAAAATTCGATATCTTAATCCATAAATCTATGAATAAATTAAGGTTTTGGCATAGGACTCAACATTATCTGAATAATGCTAATGGAGACTATGTGCAAGGTTGAAACCAAGGTGTTCTTTTCTTAATTCTCATGAGCTATCATATGTCGATGATGGAATACAAAGTCAAATAAGCTTCTACTGATACCATTAATTAAACAGGATATGCTCATAAAAGAATTGTACAACCGATGTCATCGATAGTTTTGACACCTAATCTGGGCATTAAGCTGTGCTGTAACTGTGTAATGTTTAGTGCTTTACTCGATATTTAATAGGGCCATATCCATGTTTAATTCAGCCAGCATTGTCTCCTCAAAGCCTAAGTAAAGAAAGGATTAATAAATACTTAAAAAAGAGCGCAAGCAAATCTAACTATTTATATGCATCTAGGGTGAATTGCGGAAATACTCATAAGTTCGTGGTGAATTATTTATTTATTTAAAAGAAATTAGGCTTGCTGTAGACAAATAACCAAATAATTTATTTAAAATATTATAAAATAGAGATTTCCCTTAATACCCTTTATTGTGATATCTGCGTCTACTTGAAGCAGTCTAAGGTTTGAATTAATATAGAATAGAATAAGTGCGTCTTAGTAGTTTGAAGTCATAAAGAAATATGGATGACAGCACATGATAAAGCAAGCCAATTTTAGGATTAAAACCTCTTTTTTTCATCATTCCGTTCTAAGAGATATATGACTCAATCTAAGTAACTTCAGAATTCTTATTATTCTCAAAATGAGATGAAGGAAAGTATATGATGTGGGGACCTAATTTGCTATGGGAGACCAGATAAGATAAAATAACTTATACAAATCCGTAGTAATGCAAGCAAGACGCGACCATGATATCAAATAAAATGGCCAGTCAATATACTTACCGATCAACAAATTTACGTACACGCAGACGAAAAGCTTTCACTTCATTAACAATGCTACCAGCAAAGCTGGCTTTCAAAGGACCTAGCTTAAAGGTCAACTCTTTGGCCATTTGAATGACAGCATTCCATCGTCTTCTGAGCCTGTCGGCGAAATTCCAGGTTGAAGGGGGATACTAAAAAGGAATATGTTTCATAAGAACGAAGGCGCTTAAAGCGTAGAATAAAAGGTAAAATTAATAAGACGCTATTGGCAAAAAAACTTGAAACACTAAAACTATGATAGCAAAATAGCAAAAAAATTCATCCTATTTTGTTTGAGGGGATAAAGGGCATGTAGTAGAATTTTCCAACAATGATATGAGTAGAGCTGACATTTCCATTGAATTTTACATAGCTTTGC